GGGCCGTTGTATGACCTGGAGTGTGTATCACCTGCAGGGGCCGTTGATGCAGGGGAGCTGGGACCGCCCCACGGGGACCCGGGGGCACGAGCTGGGCGCTTGCAGACAGGCACACAAGTCCACACCCAGCCTGCGCCGCGCAATATCAGTTCTCAACCCCTCGTGCCTCCTCCCCTTTGTCGCTTGGCGCGCAGCACCAGCTGGAAAAGGACGCCGAGGCGGCCGCCGCGCTGCAGCCGCCAGGTCAGCGGCAGGTGGACAAGGGGCAGCAGCAGCAGGAGGAGCAGCAGCGGCGGCAGCAGGACCAGCAGGGGGAGAAGCAGCGCAAGGCGGCGGCGCGGCTGCTCGTGCGGCGCCGCAGCGTGCGCGGCGCTGCCGCCGGCGGTGCAGCGGCGGCCGCGGTGGCGCCACGGCGCCGCGGCGTGTTGGTGGGTGCGAGCAGCATGGCCCGCCAGGTCAGCGCGCGACCGGGCGGCAGCTTCCCGCCAGGACGTCAGGCGGCGCCGGCGGGCCGCGGCCGGCTCGCGCTTGCCGGGGGCGGCGCGGCAGAGCAGCCGGCTCGCGCGGCCGTCAAGCCGGCGTGGCCGTCATGGCTGACGGGGGATGACGACACAGGGGAGGATGAGTCAGCCAGTGGCAGCAGCGGGTCATCCGACAGCATGGGCGCCGCGGCGGCCCAGACCGCCCTCTACGCAACGCCACATGCCAGGCCCGCGCCGCCGCCGCTGCTCGCAGCCATGGCCGCGCGCCTGCCACCGCCGCCGCCGTTCCTCCCGGCGCCCCCCTTCGGCCGCGGCGGCGGCGGCGGCGCGGCCTCCGGTCCGGTGGAGAGCGCGTTCGCCGCGGCGGCGGCGCTGCCGCCCCCTGGGCGCAGCGAGGAGTCGCGGCTGAGCAGCATGACGAGCGCCGCATCTCTGCGCCCGCACCAGCCGCCCCTCCCTGTGTTCGCCGCGGCCCCCAGCGGACCCAACGACTTTGAGGCGTTCCTGAAGCAGCCGAGCGGCACGGCCGGCGCAGGCAGCAGCAGAGTGGCCAGCGCGAGGCCGCCGACGCGCTGAGGCGGGGACCGAAAAGCGGGCCGCGAGGCTTGTCGCGCCTCGGCGTCCGTTGTTGAATCCCGTGCGAGCCGGCCCGCACGGGAGCACCCCTGCTGTTTCCCCGCACAGCCCGCCGCACCTGTCTGGGCCCGCTCGTCCCATGCATGAGCACAGACCACCCCTTACCCCTTCCCTATGTACAGCCTGGGCCCTCGCTGGGCCCTCACTAAATGAGCCCCCACCTCAAAACCTGGCACACATCAACCATTGCACGCTTCATTGGCGAGCGGGCCAGGACGCCGCCCGCATCACACCCACCCACTCTGTCACATGCACCTATCTCTCATTCAAGCGTTGTCGCCAGCCGCTGCTCTGCACGCCGCAAACACTGTCAACAGACACAAGATGTCGGTGGAGGCTTACACAGTTCACAGATCCCCGTTGACGGTAACATTTGTGAGGTTTTACCACATGCGCGGCACCCGCAGGGGACCGCCGTGCTTTGCCAGTCGACAGGCGCACAGCCGCGTCGGCAGGCGAGCGGCTGCCTGAGCAGGCGAGCGGACGCGAGCAGCAGAATGGGCACTGTCGTGTGATGGGCTGGTGGGCGGCGAATGGCACCCTGCAGACAGGCGGGGTAGCAAGCAACCTGGCCGCGCCCCTCCCCCCGGGCTTGAGGCCACTCGAGGCCAGCCAGGCAAAGGGTTTGGTGGGCGTGCGTGGGGCTGGACATCACCCCTCGTCCTAGTGGCGCTGCGGCCGGCACACGCAGGTTCGTCGAAACCATGGCGCCACAGTGGCTCGTCAGCATCGTGGGGGGTGCACAACACCGTGGGGGTTGCGCAAACCTGACTGTCCATCCCCGTAGCACACCATGGTCGGGCTAAATGCCATCAACTGTCCAAACAAGGCTGGGATGAACAATGTGCACGCAAAACCTGGCGCGCAAGGCCCGCCACCGGGTCTGCCGCAAGGCGTCCAAGCGCCACCGCCGGCAACAAAAGTGGTGATCATGAGCGATGGATGACGAGCGGGCGGGAGTAAAGGTGAAGCGTGAAGGACTCATTTGTTGGGAAATACAAAGCGCATTGGATCAAGCAGTACAGAAATATGATGTCAACCTGGGCTTGGCAGCTCGAGTGCTGGTGGGTGCGTGTACATACGAGGGGCATTCTTTTCCCCTGGACAGCCATTGCACATGCGCACTCAATGGGGTGGGCGCATCAACCTGCATCGCTTGCGGCGCGGCAGCCAGCTCGCTTGCGGGCGGATGGCTCGGACTGGTATGAACAAACACGACCCCTCTGAGACAGACAATTCTGCGCGCCGCGGCAGTCAGGCCTGGCCGGCGCACGGCCGCTGTTCACAGCAATCTTGTGGCGTGATGGCCTTCCGGGCCATACACATTTGCTCGACAGCTGGTCAACGACCAGTCAACATGACGGTTCGACCCGCGATGACATCACTCCAGCGCCAGGTCCAGCAGCATCAGGCCGTCCAGCCACTCGCAGACAGCAGGGTCCCCCTTCGCCGCCCGCCTGCACCGCTCCCGCTCCTCCGGGGCCAGGCGCCCCCGCGCGTGCGCGACCGCGAGCACTCCAAGGTGCCCGCCCCGCGCGGCCGCGGCGCACGCGTCCTCGTGCCACAGCGCGCCGGCCTCGTCGGCCGCCCAGCGCAGCGCGTCGGCGTGGCCGTGGGCGGCGAGGGTCAGCACCGTCAGGCCGCCGGCGTGGAAGGTATAGAGGCCCGCCTGGTGGAGCCACTGCAGAACTTCAAGATCTCCGTGCCGCGCCGCGCGCTGCACCGCCACCAACTCCTGGCGCCACGACAGCCCCGGCCAGTGGTCGCGCACCGCCCAGAGCGGCGCGCGCGGCGAGGACGCCTCCAGGCGCGCGCGGCGGGAGCCGCAGCGGGCGCAGGTGGAGGCGGCGTCCGGGCCCGAGGCGGCGTCGCGGTGGGCCTCCGAGTCTTGGTCGCCAGCGATGGCTCCGTCGCCGGGTCCGCACCAAGGGCCGCAGCGGGCGTCGGACCACTCGCGCCACTCCCGGCTCAGGCGGCTTACCGTCAGCGCCTGCTCAATGAACGGCAATCGCTCAAAGATGGCTTGGAGCTCGTCGAGGCCCAGCTTGATCGCTGCCCCAGGCGTAACTTGCGACGCTGCCATTCTTCGCTGTACGGGCGACACGGTGAGTTTGCTACATGTTGTTGATCAGGGTTTTGTTGTGTACCGTACGCCTTGACAGTTTCGCTGAAAATGATATCAACGTGTCACCGGGTGACGAAACATATCTTTGATCGCCACGGGCGATATGAAGGGACGCGGTCGGTCTCAGGGCCCTCACCGAACGGGAAGCGGTCTCCCAGGTGAGCGCTTGAACGCAGCTCGGGCCAGCACCACAGGAAGTGACTGCGCCCCACGGCCCTCATGTGCTCGCTGTCACTGCTGCACCCGCACCCAGCCAGGCAAAGCAGCGCACCAGCACTGCGCCGCTGCACCATGACACCGCCCTAAAGCAAGCTGCTCCAAACCACCAAAACGTGTCCACAGGGCTCTGTCAGCCGCGTGGCTGCGCACGCCGCGGGCCACGGCCGCCTCCATGGCCGACCCGCAGAGACCAAACGGCGCCGCAGGCGGCGGCGCAGGCGCCGGCGCGCCCTTCAACTTCGCACCCGCCAGCTCGCGCGACAAGACAGTCTACGGCAGCAGCATGCCCGGCAAGGAAAACCAGCACATAGGCGAGCGGCGGGCTGGGCAGGCCACCATGCAGCATCTGGGCTGTGCCCCAACTGCCACCCGTCTTCTCGGAGTGCTTCACACAGCGGCGCCGGCTGCCACACAGAACGACTTCCGCAGCACCTCAACCCCCACGCGCACGTTTGCACCCTTAGCATAGCGTCAACGTCAATCTCCGCAGGCCCGGCAGGCCCCGCCGACGTCGCCGCATGGGCGGCGTTTGTGCGCAGCCACGGGGTGACCGACGTGGTCAGCCTGCTGGGGGATGACGAGCTGACGTCACTCGTCGTCACGCCCCCGGGGCTGGAAGAGTTGTACAGGGCGGAGGGGCTGACTCCCCACATGATACGGGTCAAATGTGAGTCGGGCCAGGCACGCATGTGTGCGTGTGTGTGTTTGTGTGTTTTTGGGGAGGGGCGGCGAATTGCTAGGGGTGCCGCTCGCGCGCGTGTTGTTCTTTTGGGGGAAGGGGTCGGATGCGAGGGGAACGGCAGGGGTGTGTGTGTGGCGGGGGAGAGTGGCGGGGAGGGCAGAGGCAGGCGCTGACTTGATTCGTGCCGGGCTTGCCTGACGGCTGCAACAGGCCCGGGGGTGTCCCTTCAGAATCCGGCTTGGCGCCACGCCTTGACCTCGCGCCCCAGCAGCTGCCCTGCTGCAGCAACTCATCTGGGCCGGGTGGCAGTCCCCTTGCTCTCCAGGGGGATGGGGGGGCACACCTGCCTCGGGCCGCGAATCAATCTGACGTCGCACCCCCGCGCCCGCGCCCGTCCCCAGCCCCCGGCGCGCACGCGAAGATCATGGCAGTGTTCGCGGGCTGCGAGGCCGCCGGCGGCAGGGCCGTAGCGCACTGCAGCGGCGGGGTCGGGCGGGTCGGCACTGTGCTGACCGCCTGGCTGGCCCACAGGTGTGCACAGGGGGGCCCGCGGGGCGCGGGAAGCTGGGGGGAAGCTGACGCTGCGGGCGCCATCGGTGCAGACCGGCTAGCTTGACTAACGTGCGTGCCGGGGATGACGGCTGCGGCTCAGGCGCCGCTTGCAGTTTAGATCAGAACACGCCCATGCACGCTGCGTCTCCCCAGCCATCTATGATGTAACCCCATAGTAAGCCATCCACACCGCCTGCGCAAATTATTCGCCACAGGTATGGGCTGACCTACGAGGCCGCCGCCGCCGAGGTGGAGGCCCACGCCGCGGCGGCCGGCGTGCGGCGCAAGGTGCCGTCGGTGGAGCGGTTCGAGGAGTTTGTCAGCGGCAGCGGGTGGTGACCGGTCGGAAATTGGACCGGAAAGCGCCCGGCGCTGCGCGTCTTGTACAATAAAACCGCTCAGCGGCCTCTTCATAAGTTACTGTTCTTGCACTGCGGGACAAAATCACTTATTATTGTCGGCGCTGGCCCGCCGAGCTTTTGAACCACATACTCTGTAAACAAACATCCCAAGTCAGAGCAGGTTCTCAACGGTTCGGCCATAGCTGCCAGCCGCTGCGTGCCTCGTCCGTCTCAGGAACGCTCACGCGCCCTGCTGCGCCCGCAGGAAGCTGAACAGCCGCGCGTGCCGGTTCACCGCCGCCGCCGCGCGCCCCGGCGGCGCGCCGCCCGCGCCCGCGGCCAACTCGGGCGCCCACTGGCGGCGCGTCAGCCAGCCGTCCCGGCCGCTGCTGGTGCTGTCCAGGCAGGCAAGGAGCGCGGCGCCGCGCCAGGCGGTGTGCCGCGGGTCGCCCCGCTGCTCCAGCACGTTCACCATCGGGGGCTGCGGTGTTTTTTTTGAGGGGGGGGGGGAGGGGCGCGGTTTGGGAAAAAGCAGGGCAGCTCCGTAAGAAAAACGGCGAAAAATGCAGGCAACGGCGTCGGCCTGACGCGCCGCGAGGGCCTGCACGCTGCTCAGTGCTTGGATGGGGTCGAAGCCCCGTGTGCCGCAGCAGCAACGTCAGGCGGCAACGCCCTGCGAGTCAGCTGCGTCCCCAGGCGCGTGCGCGTGTCCGCCCCACCTGCACGGCGGCCAGCCCGACCCCCTGCAGCGGCTGCGCCGCCACTATGGCCGCCACGCGCCGCTCCACCAGCCCCGCCAGGCCGCGCGTGCCGCCCGCGTCCCCAGTCAGCAGGATGCCGGCGAGCAGCCGCTGCCGCAGCTCCACCCTGCCGCCGGCCGCCGCGTCGATGCAGCGGGCGACGGCCTGGAAGGAGGGGGGGCCAAAGCGGTGGCGGCGCCGCACGGACGGGGTGTGTGGACGGGGCGAAGGGGGGCGTGGACGGGTGTGACGGGCGGCAGGGGCGAGCCTAGAATGCGTGGAGTGTTGCCCGTGCCGTGCCCCGTAAGCCAGAACATCGGCCAGGAATGCGGTTGTACGGCCTCCGATCACGAGCCGGCTGTAGGCGGCAGGCGGTCGCCCCCACACGGCCCAGAAGCAAAAATGGCCCCGGCGCGGCGCCGCCGCGGCATCTCAAATCATGGCGCTGCACGGGTTCGTCCTCCGGCTCTTGGGCAGCTTCCCCACCCACCTCGTCCAGCGGAAGCTTCTCAGGCGGCTCCTCCATTTCACAGGGACCCAGCAGGTAGGCCGACACCGGCGGCAGCGCCGCCCCCTCCTCGCCCCCCTGCCCCTGCCCCTGGGCCCCCTCGCCCTGCTGCCCGCCGCCCGGCGTCCGCTGCTGCTGCTGCTGCTGCTGCTTGCGCTTGGCGGCCGCGCCCTTTGCGCCGCCCCCGGGCGTCCCCCAGTCGTCCTGCTGCTGCTGCTGGTGCGCCCTGGCCTGGCCCGCCAAGAACAGCCGCTCCGCCGCAGACGACTCCTCCACCAGCGGCGGCGGGCCGCGGCGGCGCGGCCGCTGTGCTGGAGAGGGTCCTGGATTGAGGGGTGCGGGCGACGCCCCGTCGACATCCATCGCCTCTGGGGCGCCCTGCTCGCGCCGCTGCTGCTGCTCCCGCTGCTGCTGCTGCTGCTGCTGCTGCTGCTGCTGCTGCTGCTGCTGCTGCTGCTGCTGCTGCTGCTGCTGCTGCTGCAGCTGCTGCTGCAGCCGCTGCCGATTGGCGGGCTGCGCCGCCAGCCGCGCGCCC